ATGGGGGTGTTGCAACCTAGAAGACACAAATTTGACTAACAAGTTATAAGTACATGAGTCCAAAAATTATGGAAAAGTAAAAGAAAAGATTCTTTCATTACAGCCTTCTGTTTTCTGAACACTTTCATATGTAACTAAGTCACCCTCAATTTCAGCTATCAACTATTGCCAATAACTCCCATGGACAATCATGACGGTCATAATAATCATTTTGTAAACACTTTGTGCTTTACAGTCACTGCTTCATTTGCTCCTCACAAGAATATAGTGAGGCAAGCACTGTTTTCTTCTACTTTCTATGCTACAGATAAAGAAATCAGAGAGGTGAAGTAACTTTCCCAAAATCAAATACTACCAAATAGCAAAGCCCACACAGCAGTTCACATCTGACCTTTCTTAATCTGCTTAATATTTCCATAAGCGTCCTTTCAACACTCCAGGGTCGATGTATGTTCAATGGAACCATGTGCATTTCGTCTCTAGACTTTCCTGCGTATGGCTCTTTGTTTCCAGCCATCTGTGATACAAGTCCCTGCTCCTGGGCTTCCCTCTACCATTATCAGTTATCAAACAGGACACAACCTTTCTTCCTACATTTTGAGATATTTTCATCCCTGACTATGTTGCAGTTATTACTCTAGTCTAGGTCCTTTACCACCTGGAGCACTGCAAAGACTCATCATTCCAACACATTTGTAAAAGATGTGTTGCATGTTACAGTCAAGCACTATGCTGATCCAACCCCTGACTTAATGGAATCTCAGTCTAGCAAACTGCCTAAAAATTAGCTCCCTTTCTCTTCCTTTCCTTCATCATATTCCATTCTGATTCATCCTATTAATGCTTGTTACTGAATTCTCCTTCCCAGAAAAATTATTCCACTAACATGGAGCCCTAGGGAGCTCTGGTGGCACAGTCTACAGGGGGCTGCACTGCCAACACAAAGGGAATGTCTCTGCAGCAATTTAAAACCACCAGCTCCTCCCATGTGATTTATAACCTCAGGAATCCACTGGAGGGTCTGTGATGACCCAAAAGCCACGACTCAAAAGCAGTTCTAAGTCAAGAGAAATGAACTGTTTTGTTTTTTAAATAAGTCCTATTAGTGTACAACAATGAAGGAATTTTTTTCAAAGAGCAAAGTGAACTGGAAAGGTGGGAAAATGTGCAACAATTAATGAATGGAAATCCAAGTTCTCTGTAAACTTTCATTAAAATCTAAATTAAAAAAAAATCCTAGCAGCACAGCAAGAGCTCTGATGGTACAGTCCACAGGGAGTTGTACTAGCAACCTAAAGATGGTGCCGTTCTGGTGATCTGAACCCACCAGCGCCTCAGAGAAAGATGGGCAATCTCCTCCCATGTGCTGTACAACCTCAGAAATCCATTGGGAGCATCTGCTCTGAGTTGGTTACAACTTAACAGCAACATGAAAGCAAGAATACTCACTCAGCTGGTAACAGAAGGATTGGCAATTCAAACTGGGTGTGTGGGACAAAGGCCTCGTAAACCACCCTGTAAAGAGTATAACCTACAATATCCTATGGAACACTTACACGCTCTCACATGGGGTTGCAATGATTCAGAATCAACTTAACTGGCACCAAACTACTCTAATGCCTGAAAGCAAAAAACCTGAAATCTCTCCATCTCCACCATGAAACGGCATTTTTCTTCCTCTTTGTCCATCTGTTTGGGTTTTTAAAATTGTGGCCCAGGTCAAAGTGTATATACATCAAATGAGCTTTCTATTAAACACTTTACATATATTTTGTTTCACCGCATTACTTGCAATTCCTTCAATGGAGCAACACACTTCCTATTTCCTCCCTGGGATCCATCGTCCTTTCCAGGCCTTCCTGTCTTCTCTAAGCTATTAGGGGGCAAATACTGCCCTCCGGGTCTCTTACTGTCAGTTTTTCTTAGTAGTACTTTCCGACTGCTATTTTTTACTGTGCAGGCCTCTGTTGTCTATAATCCCCAGCACCGGGTTCAATTCCAAGTCTAAAGGCTGTCCAAGGGTCACAGCCTCGAGTTACCTGCATCTTCTTGGCATCTCAAGATCCAATTCCGGTCTCACCTTTTCTGGTGTCCTTCCCCAACAAAAATTTCTTCTTTCTACGACAAATTTGCATCCTCACAGCATTCACTTCTCAAATGTCATTCACTCTCGTCAAAGTGAAATTTATGCTCATCTGCAAAGGTGGCCAAACTCTCAAATTCTTTACACTAGAAAGATCCTGTCCACTCAGCTCGTCAAATGGTTGGAGGGGGAAGGCCAATCAAGCCTTCTTTCCTTCCTGCTCAGCGCTCTGTAGTCACACCGGTCACAGTTGCAGGCTGAGAGACTCTTGCAGCTGCCGAGGTCCTTCTCAACATTATTTCTTTCAACGCATTGATATCAACTCCCTGTAAACACGGCTCTTGTCCCTTTAATTACGTATCCTGACAACGTGGCACATGCTAGTTGCTCAGTATCAACGTGTGGGGTGGAGTACTATTAATTTAACCAACCCACGAATGAATGAAACCGATCGCTTTATAACCTCCATGCCCTGATAGTAGCATTGGGGTCTCTCGGATCCGATTCCCACAGGCGGTTGCTAAGCACAGGAAAAGGAGAGGCGTTGTCAGTTTACTGCATGGATGGCACAGTGTCAGGGTCAAAGACCCCAGATCCCGCGCCTCCCAGGAGCGCTGTCTTCTTGGAAGCGGCCCCGCTGACCTCCATGCCCTCAGTCTCCCTCCGGGCCCCCCTCACCTCGCCTCACCTCCCACGCAGGCCAGCACAGCCTTGAAGGCGCAGCTTTCCATCGCCCTCTCAATCCTTTTTTGCTCTTCGCTCTTGGCGGGACTCGGGATCCCGCCAAGACTACCAGGCTCCAGAATCCGGGGTTGACGCTTGTCACCTACTAAGTGTTGCAAAAGAAGGCTGTACTGCAGTGGGGCTTCGGCAGAACCCGCCGCCCCAGGTCCCGAACCCCCAGCAGTGGGGGAAGCCGCAGCCATGATAACAGCGACCCCAGCAACTCTCGCGTCCTTCCTCACAGCCGATTCCGCAAGTGCAGTATAGGGGACCGGGAATAGCTAGTCACTGAAAACTAACGGCAGATTCGCCACATCAAACAACTATCTGAGGAAGCTAAACGTGTCCATTTACAGTATCCCTTATTGTAGAAATGTCCTATTTCTTCAGAGCCTTTTACAAGATTTAATCAGGCTTGTGTAACTTTGTTGATGGCACGAACAAACGAGATTCAGATTCGCCAAAAAGCACTCATGTACGCAGCGGCAGCGCAGTGAGTATCGGGATTGTAGTTTTGTTACCCAGTTATCCAACTACATTTCCCAGAAAGCCTCTCGAGGGCTGTAGCACTCTGAGTTTATCAAGAGGATGGAAGAACCCCTGGCGGGCGGGAAGGGAATGGTTGCAGACGCGTGGGCCGTCGTCAGGGGGCGCGCGAGATGAAGACGCTGCGTCCCACATTCTTCCGGAGGAATGTTGTGTCGGAACCGACCCATAGCTGACCCTCCAGCGGGTTTTCAGAAGCAGTTTAAATCGCATGGGGTGAGACTGTTCATCCGTCTGTCGCAGAGCAGCAGGTGGATTTGAACTGCGTGACTTTGAGATTGCAGCGCAGTTCCTTACCACTATGCTTTCAGAGCACCCTTTGGGGAAAAAGAGACTGAATGATTGAAGATGCTTTATAAATAAGTCGACCATGGAGACCTCTGTATGTCAGAATTGAACTATGTTACTTAGAGTTATCAGTACTGATTGACCCAGAAATAGTTCGTCTGCGGTGCTTCTGGGTGGACTTGAACTTCCAATGTTTGGCTAAGCAGTCAAGTGTGTTTAACCATTTGTGATAACCAATGACTCCTTTGTAAATAAACAGACTTAGAAAACCACTTAGAAAGGGGTGAGGGTAGCCAGCCAGTCAGCATAAGCAGAGACGTGTCTTTTTAACCAAAGTTTTCCTGTTGTCAAACATAGAGAATGAATGATTCACCCTCCTTTTCCACCAGACCACCGAATGAACTATTCCTCATGTTCCCAGTGGCTTCCCAGTTGTCAGAGCTCGTTCAGATCCCATTTCACTAGGCTTCTCTGCTGCATTTGACATTGTTGACTATTCCATTCTTCCTGGAAGTTCTATAATTTCTGCGGAGCTTCTGTCCTGGTTTTTTTTCAACTTCACCAGTTAGTTGTTCCTTCCCAGATGTCTTCAGAGGCTCCTATGTCTGACACTTTCCTGTTAGCGCTCTTAGGCTTCATCTTATGTTCTCTCCTCCGCAGATCACTTTACCTTATCCATATTTGTGGCTTAACCTAATTCAGGCCGTGGTATTTTCACTTACTTGCTATGCTGGATAATGAAGAAGGATGACAGAAGAATTGATGCCTTTGAGTTGTGGTGTTGGAGAAGAGTGCTGAATATCCCATAGACTGTCAAAAAAATGAACAGCTATGTCTTGGGAAAGGAGCAGGCGGAGTGCTCCTTGGAGGCAAGGAAAGCAAAGCTCTGTCTCTCATACATGTTATTCCTTGGAAAAAGATATCACGATTAGAAGGCTGAAGGGCCAACAAAAGAACAGAAGACCCCCCCCCATCAAGATGGATTGACACAGTGACTGCAGTATTTGGCGCTTGTGTATTAGCAGTGGTGAGGTTGACACAGGAGAGGACGGGATTCAAATCTGTTGTTCATAGGATCACTATGAGTTGTATTCTGCTCAATGGCACCAAACAACAACTTGTTATTGTGTACTGTTGAGTCAAACCAACCCATAGCTGACCCTCAGACAGGTTTTCAGAGGCAGTTAATCATACGAGAGGAGATTGCCCATCCTTCTCCCAGGGAGCAGCTGGTGGATTCGAGCTGCATGCCTTCGGGATTGCAGTGTAGCTTCTTAGCACGAGCTTCAAAGCTCCCTGCCATTTCTAACACACTGCTACCTCCAAATTCTTTATCTCCAGCTTAGATCTTTCTTGTAAGCACTGCCGTAGTGGGTAAAGTGCCATTGAGTCAACTATAACTCATAGCAAGCCTATGGATAACAGAGAAGAAACTTGCTCTGTCCTGCACTGTCATCTCATGATCTCTGTCAAGCTCAAGGCCATTGTGGTAGTCATTGTACCTCGTTTAGAGTCTTCTTCCTTCCCCAGCATGATGTCTCTGTCCAAAGATGGTTCCTCCTGAATATATGCCCAAATTTAATAAGACAGAGTGTCACCGGCCTTGATTCAAAGGGGCTCCCTCGTTGCACTTCCTTCAAGACAAATTTGTTCTTTTGACAGTCCGTGGTATACTCAGTACACTTCTCCAACACCACAATACAAAAACATCAGTTCTTCTGTCTCCCTTAATCAGTTCCCAGCTTTCAGATGCCACTTTGCACGGGGTGTAAGCCCTAGGACTGGACATTTCCCCCAGGCACCACAGGGGGGTGCTCACAGGCAACTCAATACACCCTGCCAGTCAAGCGCCTGTCACAAGAATGAGGTTCCCAAGTGTTAATATTCACACTGGAGGTCTTAAAATCTAAAGTCAGATCTGAGAGAAGTTGAGACAGGTTCACAAGCAAGTTCTAGACAAAGTGATATTAAGAAGGAAAGACAAATATAAACAGCTAGCCCATGGGACAAGTTAGAGAGTAATAACTCAGCCCCAAAATAAAGACTCTTCATCAGAATTCAGGCAAGAGCCAGGTTAGCAAATGGAGAAATCCCCTAAGCCTCGACACATGAGGTCACGGGGTCACAGAGAACAGTACTATGGTACTAGGGGTTCAAATCCACCTGCAGCTCCATGGGAGAAAGATGCTCAATCTCCCGTAAAATGTACAGCCTGAGAAACCCAATGGAGGGTGAGCTATGCGTCAGTCCTGACTCAATCGCAAGGAGCTAGTTTTAGTTAGAATTAATTTATGGTCTAGCAAATAGAAAGGAATCTCTTTTGATCTCCGGCCAGGACTCTCTGAACCACAGAGTAAATATTATTTTGGTTGCAAGCAACAGAAACCAACCCCAGCGCGCTCACAGAAATGGGGAGGGTTTTTGAAAGATGAAAGGAGGTCTGGTGGCACAGTGGTTAAGTACTTGGCTGGTAATCAAAAGGTCTACAGACCTCACCAGTCACGCTGTTGAGAGAAGGATGTCACAATTTGCCTCCATAAAGATTTACAGCCTTGGAAACTCTATGGGGCTGTTGTACTCTGTCCTCCAAAGTCACTGAGAGTTGAAATTTGGCTGGATGACAATGACATGTTTATTGTTATCATTGGAAGTACACCAGTGTGGCTCACAGAAGTGGAACCACTAAGGTCAGCGCTCAGGGCAGTCTGGGACGTCAGGAAGCTCCTCTGACAGTCTCTTTTCTGCAAAGAACAGATGTCTTTACCTCATGCAGCTGCTAACACTTTCACTGCTCCAAACGATCCCATATCTCTTTAACATTTTTTGATGTTCTGTCCACTGTGCATTTTTTTCCACAGTAAATTTTTAACAACTGTGCTGAAAAAGTGTTTATCTTGATTGTCGAGTTTTATTTTCAGTTGCTTAGACACCCTTCTCCCCCTTAAATTTGTTACTTGAGGGAAATGCCTCACTGCTGTCACCTTAGTTCCAGCCCTAAGTCTCAGAAGAATCTGTTCCCAGCTGCCAGCAGTGGTGGGCTGAAGCCAGGTCCTGCTCTCGCACAAGAACTGATTATGAAATTTTTCAGGAAATTTTTTTTAGGCTCCACGGAAGTCCTTGAGTGTTGCGGACTGTCCAGCTAATGGAAAAGTTGGGAGAATTGAGTCTTTTATTCAGAGGTGCCTAAGGAGAAAGGTCTGGTGATCTACTTTTTTTTTTATGGTGATCTACTTCTAAAAAAAAGCAGCCATTGAAAATCCATCTTGTGGAGCAAAGTTATACTTTGACACATACCACGAGTTAGAATCAGCACAATAGTAACTTGTCAAGATCTTAGACTCTGGAGACTAAGGTGCATCTGATACAGGCTATGGTCTTTGCAATCACTTGTTATGCATCAGAGAGTTAGACAATGACCAAGGAGGACAGAAGGAGAATTGATGCCTTTGAGCTGTGGTGCTGAAGAAGAGTATTGACTATACCATGGACTGCCAAGAAAACAAACAGATCCATCCTGGAGAGGGTTAAACCAGGCTGCTCCTTGGAGGCAAGGATTCTGGGGCTTCGCCTGACATACTTTGGACATGTTGTAAGGAGGGACAGGTCCTTGGAGAGGGCCAGCAGGCCAGCAGAGCTCCCTCAGAAGGAATTGTTTTGTGTAAGATCAAGTCAGAACCAACTCATAGCTGACCCAACTTTCACAGGCTGTATGTTGCACAAGAAGTGGGGTGGTTGATGGGTTAGAACAGTCTGGGTTGGCAGTACAACTTCTTACCCAAGAGCCACCAGAGCTCAGAGAGGGTTAGGTAGATTAAGTTAGACCTTAGCTTGCACTTATCTTCCTCTTGGGTGAACGATATGTGAGGTGAAGCTTTACCATCCTTGCCTGTAAAGCAGCACTCTGCCTGAACTTTCTCCAAGACATACCTGTTTGTTCTTTTGGCAGTCCATGGGATATTAAGTACTCTTCTCCAACACTACAACTCAAACACATTAATTCTTCTGTCATCTTTATTCATTTCCCAGCTCTCTGAAGTGATTGAACAGACCATGGCCTGAATCAGACCTTCCTTAGTCTTCAAACTAACATCCTTGCTCCAGTAATGTGGAGAGGTCTCTAACAACAGGCTTGCCCAGTGACTCCTGATACCAGGGAGTTTATTGTGGATCCAAGTAAGATGAAATAATTAACAACTTCTATTATGCTACAAAGCCCAAGGCGGTATAGCACTGGTCTGTGCATTGCTGTACAGAGGTAACTCGTGGTTGCTGTGATGCTGAACACTGTGATACTGATGTGCCAAATGTGATAATGGTTACCCATGGCGGACAGTGTTTGCTGGAGCTTCCTGATTAAAACAAGCCTGTA